CATTCATCCAGCCCATACTTCTTTAACTTGCTGGCAAGAATACTGTGGGAGACCGTGTCAAAAGTCAAGGAACAACACGTCCACCACTTTCCCCTCATCCACAGAGCCAGTTATCTCTTCATAGAAGGCAATTAGATTAGTCAGGCATGACTTGCCCTTGGTGAATCCATGCTGACTGTTCCTGATCACTTTCCTCTCCTCTAAGTGCTTCAGAATTGATTCCTTGAGGACCTGCTCCATGATTTTTCCAGGGACTGAGATGAGGCTGATTCACCTGTAGTTCCCAGGATCCTCCTTCTTCCCTTTTTTAAAGATGGGCACTACATTAGCCTTTTTCCAGTCGACCGGGACTTCCCCGGATCGCCATACGTTTTCAAAGATAATGGCCAATGGCTCTGCAATCACATCCGCCAACTCCTTTAGCACTCTCGGATGCAGTGCATCCGGCCCCATGGACTTGTGCTCATCCAGCGTTTCTAAATAGTCCCGAACCACTTCTTTCTCCACTGAGGGCTGGTCACCTCCTCCCCATGCTGTGCTGCCCAGTGCAATAGTCTGGGAACTGACCTTGTTCGTGAAGACAGAGGCAAAAAAAGTATTGAGTACTTTAGCTTTTTCCACATCCTCTGTCACTAGGTTGCCTCCCTCATTCAGTAAGGGGCCCACACTTTCCTTGACTTTCTTCTTGTTGCTAACATACCTGAAGAAACCCTTCTTGTTACTCTTAACATCTCTTGCTAGCTGCAACTCCAGGTGTGATTTGGCCTTCCTGATTTCACTCTTGCATGCCCGAGTAATATTTTTATACTCTTCCCCAGTCATTTGTCCAATCTTCCACTTCTTGTAAGCTTCTTTTTTGAAAGAAAGGCTGTGGGGAACACAAAGGCTCCTCCAGGGTGAGGTGGAAGCTGGGGGAGGGAAAATACCTGGAAGACACAGGGTTGGACCAAGCTCCTGAGTCTGACCCTGACACAAGGACAGGAACTGAACCTCTGGGGAAAAGCCCTGGGAGGTGCTGCTTGGTACAAACAGCTAAGGAAGGGGCTGAGGGAAAATCCTGAAGCAAGGCTAATGGTAGGATGGAGTCCAGGGAGGCAGTGGCAAGATATCTGATGGAGCAGATCTTGGCTGCTCATCCTAGGGTCCCTGGACTAGAACCCAGTATAGAGTGTGGGCCTGGGTTCCCCTACCAGGCACAAGGAAGCAGGTGTGAAGGCTCCTGTGTGAAGGACAGAGGATAAGGATGATTTTAAACTCTGAGAGAAGGGTGTAAGGATCACTGGGCTCAGAGTTAGGGGCCTGAGACCAGACACAAGATCTTAGAATTATTTGTTGGACTTTTGTTCAATGGCCTTGATGTTAACTTGGAAGGGGTGGGCCTAAAATGTGACCTGGCTGGAGGGCCCCGTCGTGAGAAGATGCAGACCACCATAGGCTTGGAATGACCATCAACTGGGAAGCTAGAGAAGGAGAGCCTGCTACATCACACCCAGCCACAAGGGGATGCACCAGTGGTTAGCTGATCCTTCTACAGTAGGCTACTCCATGATGTGATAGTGTATACAAACCCCACACTGGGCCTGGAGGGGTTAAAAGACAATACTAGGCCCAGGTACACCTGCCCAGGCAAGCATGCAAGGGTGGTGGACAGGCTGCTGGAGAAAGCTCCAGGAAGCCAGACAGAAAGTTGTGCTTGAGAAGGGACCACAGAGTGGGTAAGACCCAGAGGTTGTGCCTTCTCCAACCCCCCCCCCGCTTTGAGAACCAGCAGGTCCCGCAAGGCCCTGTTCCTTTGGACTGTCTTGAGTGTGAGACTGTGTGTTTGGACTAGGGGCCATGCCCTGAACTGAAGGAACCTATTGGTAGGCAGTAGTCCAGGGAGGCAAACTTGGACTTACTTCAGGGAGGACCCTGCCAGCATTGCTTCACATAGGGCCCTGGGCTGGCATCAGTTGGAGAGGGAGGGCCCAGGTCCCCCTACCACACCAACTTAAGGGCTGAGGCCCAGATGCAGGGGGGAATCCAAAAATCCCCATCTTAGGGTCAGGAACAGATACCGTTACCACCCTGACAGAAAGAGAAGGGGGTTGGATGTTGGGTGCTCTAACCATTAAATCACCCGGACGTCTGAGCCCCCTATCACATATGGCTGCTACTGTTTGTTTCCTTGCAATCAACTGGCATTTTTGTGCTCTGAGAGATTTGCGTTTCTGATGATCAGCTTGCTAATACTCACTGTTTAACTGCTGACGTTCCCCTTTGGGAGGAAGCATGAAAACCACAGCAGATGAGAGCAGAGAGGTTACTTATTCACTTCTATAAATTCAGGTAGCACTATGCTATGTCATTGCTTCACATTTAGCATGCAGATGTCTCTGAAGAGCTTGATCAGCAAAGAATTGAAATCATCAAAACATAACTCAGGGTAGGAATTTAGTCCAATTTTTGTCTCCAAGTTACACAGGTATAAGTCCTGAATATCTAAACACCTAAACTGGAGCCCTTTGCTTTTCTCTTCTTCTGTTCTGTGAGTGATGAGTAATGGGCATGTTTCCACTAATGTGTGATACCCACAAAGAGCCTGGATACGGCCGGCCCTGTGAGCACTCCTCCCGGTGTCCCTGTGCTGGAACCAGGCACCGGTTCCCATTCGCATCCTCTTGGGTGCCACGTACCCAGAAAGAAGCAGGGAAAGCAGGCTAACACCTCTCCCTGCTGAGATAACACACACTGCCTCTGTTTGAAGAGTGATGGAGCTGCCACTGCTGTGTGCACTCTGAGAGCTCCCAGGAGGCAATCTGGCTGATTTAGCCAAAATGCCTCCTGGGAGCTCCCAGTGCAGTGAAGCTCAAAAGCTACCACAAAACTCTCATTGAGTCTAATGGGAACAGAGTTAGGCCAACACTGATCGCTGTCTAAAATCCCATCCTCCCTGTGGCACATAGTGTGGCTATATTAATTAACCCATTGGTGCCTAGCCTCTCCTTGATCTACAGCCTGCAGAAATTGGCATTTCCAGCAATAGCTTTACAGTACTGGCAAATCAGCAATTGTAGAAAGATGGTGAGCTGCTCAGCAAATATATCACTTCCAGCTTTTCAGGGAGGTACAGTCTGGGGTTGCGCTATAAGAAAAGCTGAATGAAACACCTATTGCTTGTCTCTTCCTGTGACGGTTTTGTGGCAAGCCTGAAGCAGTGCAAGCTCTTGCGTAAAGCAGTTGTAAGAACTCTCGCAACACCGGGTACATGTACACTACGATAAAAGAGTCACGGCACAGCTGGGTCCCAGACTCTGGGCTCCAGCTCAAGCCCCAGTGTCTACACCACCATTTTATAGCCCCGCGAGCCCATGTCAGCTAACTTGGGCCAGCCATGGGTGTTTTATTGCAGCGTCAGACTGCCATCAGATTTTATAATGCACCAGGTCTTCCATGTGTCAAGCTTCTCGTGCAACTCTAGGTGTGAGTTCTTCCAGCAATCCAGTACGGTCCAAATACTACATCTTCTTTTCATCTTATCTAGGGTTAGTAATGCTAGGGGGATGCTGCAGAGCGAGAAACCCAACCCGCTTAACCTGACTGACAATCTGGGATGAATAAAAGGGGGGGATTTATGGGTCCAATCCTGCATGCGTCCACTGAAGGTGTTGGGTGTTTTGCTCTTATCTTCAGTAGGAGTAGGATGAGGCTGAGCTGCGAGATTCATGTGTTTTGATAGACAAGCTGGTCATGAATCCATAAGGGCACAACCTGAAACACCACAGTGACCCCACTGTTGCTTCTTGCCCTGCACTATTAAAGTTAACTCCTATTAGCAAACTGGCCAAGGACTTTACATGCAGCTGAGGCGAATGGAGATTGGTGCCTGCTGAACCTCTGGAATATTTATTCGGACATTACATCGGGTTACAGCTGACAGTCCTCAGCCTAGGTGATAACTGATCAAGAACTCCGGAAGTGATTGGGTCACAAGGTGCAGCTTGTAGTAAAGAGGGATGCTCCAGCACAGAGGTAGCACACCTGCTCCAACAGCCCTTTGTGAGCTGCAGCTTACTCCTCACCGTGTGGCTGGTCAGCTCTGCTGGCTGCTGCATGTGGGGAGCCATGGCCACACCTGCCCCCTGGGTTGCAGCTGCACATGGGAGGAGTACGGAGGGAGACTCTGGGCACAGGGATTGGTATTTTGGCCTTTACAGTGGCTGTATAAAGGGACATGGGGGGGGCGGGGGTGAGGGGTAGGCTCTGTATGCTCTCTCCATTGCACACCTGCACAAGGTCTGGCAAAGAGGGCCAAAGTCATGCAGTGACTTTGGCGGAGTTGCAGCACGGATGGATATAACCTGGAATTTTATGATCAGATGGTGCCATGAAGGCACAGTACTGACTAGGGGGCACGGTGGAGCTGCACTGCCCCAGGGGCGCTCAAGAAAGCATAGTGTCTCATGAAGCACAGTGCTTCACAGCAGCCACTGTGCCGTGGCCACCCATTATGAGGGAAACCCCCCGTTGGCAGCCATTGGATCTTCTGGCCAGTGTGGTAGAGGGGCATGACACCATGGCTCTGTTTCCTCCCCTGCCGGAGACATTAGTACCTCCAAGGTGCTGTCTCAGAGCAGCTCTCATGTATCTGGTCAGCCCTGCGTAAAGTGTGGAGAGAGCGGTGCCTCCCAAAGACGGGGGGGAAGTCAATAAGTTGGGGCCAGCAGGTTGGGGTGAAGAATAGTAGAGCAGGCATGGTGGGATGATGAGGGAGAGTGAGGAGAGGAGCTACTCAAAATGGTTGTCTGGGAGGAAAGGGGAAGGACAGGAGCAGCTGCCAGGGAGCTGGGAGCGATAATTTGAGTAGAACTAGTTGACATTTTCCATTACATTTTTTAACAGAAAATGCTCCTTTGACTAAAATGAAATTTTTTGTTTTGAAATAAAAAATTTTGGTTGAACTTTTTGTTTTTCAATAATTTTCAAACTGAACAATTGCATTCGTTTCAGTGGGGGGAAAACCACCTACTCTTCTTCCTGAACTCCACTTCCCTGCCTTCTTTTCTCTGATGGAAAAAAGTGAGAGAAAATGTGTCTTCCCTCCATTCTGTTAACCAACTCTGGGAAAGAGACAGTGCAGAGGTAGGCAGGAGGATGGGTCCCATATTACATTTCTGCTTAGGTGCCCCTCCAAATGTCATTAAGCCCCTGGCTCTGGGGTAGTATTACACTGTTAGAGTGACCCAATGACACCATTCATTCCACTCTTGGCTGATGCAGGATGGGCATATGGCGTCATAGCATAGAAATTCCATCCAGCGTGCTGTATTCATACCAGTCCTTGGATACAGTGTAGGAATGATGGCGCAATGCCACAACACTGGCTGGTGACCAGGTGAATGGAAAGCCATGAAGCTGTCTGATGACACACCAGAATGCAGATTTGTGTGTGCTTGTTTAGCAGCCTGTGTATTCTTAATAATTTATCCAGCTGACACGTTCTCAGTGCTAACAGCTGAAGTCATAGTCCCTGCTGGTCAACAGAACATAGGGGTGTTTCTGAGATCTGTGAAACATAAATAAAGCACACATTAGAATTCCCAGTGCATTTCACTGAGCTGCCAGATGATAAATATTTGATGAGTTGTAGATCAATAAAGCAGATATCCTACCTGCTGAGGTCTTTTTTTAGGAACACAGCCTTGAGTATTAAGACCATTGCAGTGCAACTCTTTTTAAGTGTGCAGCCCCTAGTGATGATTGCAATCTTTCTTGCAGCCTCTTGTAACCTCATTAGAATTTGATTATTACTCTCAATTTTATGAGGCTTCTTTTTAGCAGCCACAGTGTTTGGAGAAGTTGCCACTGCACTGCTGATCTCAGTATTATGAATGTCAGATGCTACCAATGCTACCAGGAGCTTTTCCATTTGAAAGGTGAACTGCAAGGCTGAAAAAAGAAACCCAAATATGCCCTTTATTGCTTCTCTATGATGCACAAAGACAGCCTCAGTGTATCCTTTTGCTTGTTTTTTAACAGAAATATCAAGCCTTGATTTCCCATTTTTTTGCTTGCAGGTACTCTGGAGGATAATAGAACTAATTGGACAAAGACATCACAATAGACAGAAGCACTCCAGAAACCTTGGTTCTGTGGCTAGGTCACTGGAATGGGCATCAGGAGATGTGCATTCTATTCTGGTCACTGCTATGACTTTGTGCAAGTCACTTCATTTCTGTGTGTCTCTGTTCTCCCTCTTATCTGCCTCTGTTATAATATTGTTATAAGACTATTTATTTGCCCCTCTGCTGCGTGGTAGCAGATGTCAGGCTTTGTAGTCAGCTTTCTGTCGGAGGAGAAATCACGGACAAGGAGTCTGGGTATACTCTGTGCAGTTTGTTTTCTTTACATGTATATGCATAAGTCCTGGAACCGAGGTGGCCACAAATGGCCCACAGGTCTTCTTGAAGGGATCTCAGCCCAAACACCAATGTCTGGATCCCAGGATGCAACTCTGCCTCAGTAATTGACAGCAAACTCTCCTTCTGCTTGGCACGGAGCCCTTAAAAAACACTACATCAGAAAACCAACAACAGGACAGCATTTTTTTCCAAGACCAAATACTTGCTTGTATGTTAAGAAAATGCTCAGAATGAGTAAGTCTAGGGCTAACAGCACCATCTAATGACCATAACAATAACAAAAGCATGTTGCAGTTTTCCCTGTCTAAAATAAAGGGATATTCAGTCAGTCTCTGTTTAAAATTTTCATTGTTGTTGAGTCAAACAATATATAACAAGAACACAGGTTTAACTCTGGTCTGCTTCAATATTCCCTCTTCTTTCAGCTAAGAGTTTGGAAATCTGCTACTCGAGTTTCAACCTACTGTGATGTCCCTCTAGGTCTCCACTCCTCCCAAGTATCCTCCAGCAAAACCAAAACCACTGAAAACTTGATATTCCTGATATTTCTATGGGGAAGGAAACTTTTTGATGAAAGGACACTTCTATGTATCTAATGGGCACAAGAAGGACTTACTTCCCCTTTTCAGGTCACCTTTGACACTTGGTAATGTCTGAGGTCCATGTTACCTTTAGTTAGGGATCAGGGGCCCAATATGACTATAAATACGTCCAAGGGAAAGAGATGAGCCAACAATGGGAATCATAACCTGCACACGCTCATCCCATCAATTCCATGTTGATATGAACAGTGGGCACAGTTACAGCAAGAATGACTATCTAAGGTACTTACATGGTCCCCTTTTCCATCGTATCTGAACACTGTACAACCTGTACTGTATTTATCCTCACAACACCCCTGGGAAATAGGGAAGTGTTATTATCCCCATTGGGAATGCTGAGGGAGAGAGAGACTAATGGCTGGCCTCAGATGACACAGGAAGTCTGGCAGATAGGGACCTGAATCCAATTCTCCCAGGTCCTATGCTAGTGCCTTAACCACTTCCTTCCTTTTTGAGTGGATATTATACACAAGACAAAGGCAATATGACCCAAATGTTGCAAAATCACGTTCCTTTGCTGTTTCTGGAGGTCCAGAACATAACAGATTGTCTGTAAGCCAAGTACTAAGTTTAGTGGTGAAATATTTTTAATAAACTACAAATGTGGGAGATGAGGGAACAGTGATTAAAGCTGGTAACAACAGAAATGCTCTCCTGAATCCCAAGAGAAATACTTAGAGCCAATAACAGATATGACAAATAATGCTATTGTTAGTCGAATCAATTATTAGACAAATATTTCTGTATTTGACCAGATCTATCGCTGATGAAATAATATCCATTAGCTAACTTGTCAAAGAATGGATTATTTGCTGAGTATTCAACAAATAATTGCAGCTAGTATTCAACCAGCTCTGCTATCAACCCATAAGAATAGAGGACAACCCAGATGCACGAGGACAAATGTTGGGTGACTCAGATGTGAATATGCCTAATAGTGTTGCACACAAGGACCATTTCTGCCTTGTCTGTGCATGCCTGCCAGCACTGGAATGCTGTTCTTCTCATTGCTCCATGGCTTATAGGAAACACAACGTGTGACTGTGTGGAGCCAAAAATGAAAAAATTAGTTGCAATGTCACATCAATACAGTTGTGGCCACATTTGCTAGCAGTAAAATTGTTGAGGGGAGGGATAGCTCAGTGGTTTGAGCATTGGCCTGCTAAACCTGAGGTTATGAGTTCAATCCTTGAGGGGGCCATCTGGGGCAAAAATTGTGGACTGGTCCTGCTTTGAGGAGGGGGTTGGACTAGGTGACCTCCTGAGGTCCCTTCCAACCCTGATATTCTATGAATGCAGTGGTGTTGGCCAGCTGAGCCTCAGGACCAGAGTCACGTGAAAAATACCCAATAGTCTGGAAGTAGGAATGAGATGATTTTTTGGAAATAAGAAGTTTACTTCAAAATTCAGTGTAGTGTTGAAAAGTCAATGTACGTAGCTGAAACCTGCCTGGAACCCCCATAGCTTCAATGTCCTATGTTCACCTCTGGAAAATTGTTGCTCATCCAACTGTGAATATCTGACAGTTGGTCAGACACCCCTGAGGCTCTCTCAGGAACAGCCAGTTTCAGAGGATACCATCAGGACACCATCAGCATACATGTGCCAAGTCCTAGTGTGCTGATGAGCTCTATTCCCAAATGGCAGCACACAGATCAAAACCAATATCAGAGGCCAACAACCACAGCTCAACCACATGGAAATATGCCATGGGTGAGTTAAATGAACAGAAGGTGAACACAAATGACCTCTAGACACAAAGTGGTGATAGGGAACAACTTAAAGTAGCACAGTGTCTCCTGGCAAGGGAGAGACATGACTCCAGAGGGCCATGCAGGGGCTCTAATTGAAGACTGTTAAAAGCACCACTCAGAAGAACAACAAAGGAAGGAGAGCGGTTGGATTGAAAAGTGGTCTGTAACTAAGTTAAAAATGGCCTTTGTGGAGTGCGCTTGTGTGAAGCACATCTCTAAACAGGAGTGTGTCAAAGCGTATGGCAGCTTGATCAGCGCGCCAATAGGCAGATGTAAAATGACAAAGCTAAGGCAAAAGTTGTGAAATGAATGCTGATTGCGGGAGTAATTTTAAAAGCGAAGAGGGAGCAGAGAGGTGATGAAAACAGGGGCCCTGTAGACATCCCCATGTAGTGTGCACCCATCCTCCCACCTTCTGTGCATGTCACTTTTGTGCTCACATGGACAGAGAGTGCAAAGTGGGGTGAGTTAGCCTCAGCCGGATCCAGTTACTTGGGCTAGGTATGCCACAGAAAGAGCGAGAGCATTTCCAGCTGGTTGGCTGAATAACGTCCCTTTGGCACCTGTACATTAGACCCTGGTTTCTCCAAGTGGAGGCTTACTCCACTGAGCAGAAGGGTGGCCCACTGGTTAAATGCTAGCCTGGGACTCAGGAGATCTGGTTCAACTCCCTGCTCTGGCCCAGGCCTCCTATGCAACCTTGTGCAAGTCTCTCAGTTTCCCATCTGTAAAATGGGGATAATAGGACTTCCTTACCTCACAGCACCACGTGAGGTGCTCAGCTACTATGGTGATGAGGGCCAGATAGGTACTGTCAGGGGCTAGAGGAGGGAAAGATATGGGATATTGGTTGCGGATGCTTTTAACTTTACTGTAGCACTGGTTGGAAAAATTCCAACAAAACACTTTTTTCGTTGGAATTTGGCATTTCATAAAAATGGAAATGTTTTGTGGAGACAGTTTGATTTTGCCAAAGTTCTGATGGAACCCAGGCTGGAAACCTTGGAAACACACCTGCTTTCCTGCCAGATCACCTGCCAAGCTTCCTGGGAAACCAGGCTTCCAGGGTCTGCAGCTTTTGGGCAGCCTGCCAGGCTGACTGCCCCAGAGTGGGGGCTTCATTTGTGGTGTTATGCATAATCAGAACAAAACCAAATGTCAGAATATTGAAATTGTCTGTGAAATGGAATTACCTTTCTCTGCCCAGCTTTACTTTACTGTGTCTAATTGTACGATACATCGCCCTGGAATTCTGCTGTGAAGAGAAAGACAAAGTATTTGTTTCTTTTATCTATGCTTTACTATTTATTTTTCGAGGGGAGGGGATTGGATTTTTTGCAGCCTTTTCTCAATTTGCTCTGACACACTGTCTCTCTGCAATCATTCAGTTCTATTTTCAATGCAGATCTGTGTTCTATTCCTGATTCTATCACAGACTTTGAGTGTGACATCAGACAAGTCATTTGGAGTCAAATTTTCAAAAGTGCTTAAGTGAATTAGGCACCTGAGGCCCATATCTTCGAAGGTATTTTGGTGCTAACTTCCACCAAGTACATAAGTCACTATTTAAAATGGGTCTAAGGCTTCTCTGTCATTTAGGAGATTTTGAAAAACTACCCTTCATGCCTCAGTTTCCTCATCTGTAAAATGGGGCCAATGAAGCTTTTCTGCCACTCAGAGGTCTTGTGAGGCTGCTACATTTTTGCAGGGCCATAAAATAACCTATATAGTTGTTTGGTTTTGATGGGATGATTAGCAAGAGTAGCAAATGGGGAATGTCTAAGAAGGTTTTAAAAGTGGAGTTATGGTGTATAGCATACTGTACATTATTTCCCTAATGCTAATGCTCTTGAGTTATACCTCTTCATGTGCTTCTAATGGAATTGCTTGCGTAGCTCAAGAGAACGGAAAATTTGCATTATTTTGTACTTCAGTAGGAGTGAGGATTCCACTGAGATATTATAGAATCTATTTAGCTGAAGCAGATCAGGAATTCTGCTATCACCATGTTTCTAGCTGAAAATCTAGTAGCTAATTCTGTGTGAGGAACAGCTTTGAAGATGTTTGTGTCTGTTTGGCCACCTCTCTCGCCTCTGTCTCTTTCCTAGGTGAAGTGCAGTGTTTGGATCATACAAATAGGATTTATTTTTAAGTAGGTGACTATAGAAAAGCTGAGTACTGCTATTGTGTGACTCCAGCATGTGCTGAGGGAGCCCAGTACCTTGCAGGTGGCACACAGCCCCTCCCAAGATTAGATTTGCTATTAGTCAAGCTGGGATGGTTGTGACTTGTCACAACCTTGTCACCCTGCCTGGTATGTGGCTCACCACTGAGAGGCCAATCTCAGGTCAGACAGTCAGAAAACAGGGCAGACACCCCAACTGTTTTTATATTCTATAATTAGATTTCACCAAGCCAGTAATAAATGTGCGCTTCTGGATTACTGTATTAGTCTCACCATGGAGCCACAGGCAGTCCTCTTCGGCACTCCAGCCAAATGACCACCCAGACAAATTTCAGGTTTCAGAGGAACAGCCGTGTTAGTCTGTATTCGCAAAAAGAAAAGGAGTACTTGTGGCACCTTAGAGACTAACCAATTTATTTGAGCATGAGCTTTCGTGAGCTACAGCTCACTTCATCAGATGCATCACTTCATGTGATGTGAAGTAGCTGTAGCTCACGAAAGCTTATGCTCAAATAAATTGGTTAGTCTCTAAGGTGCCACAAGTACTCCTTTTCTTTTTGCAAATACAGACTAACACGGCAGTTACTCTGAAACCAACAAAAGACTAACTAAAGATTTATTAGCTAAGAAAAGGAAATGAGAGTTATTAAGAGGTTAAAGCAGATAAAATATATTACAGGTGAATCAGAGTGTATAGTCCAAATGATGCAGAGTTGTCATGTCCGCTAATTTTCCATAAATTCCTCAGGGTTTCCCAGAATGGCTTTTGGAGTCCTCTGTCCAATCA